ACACACACACACACACACACACACACGCACACACACACACACCTGGCAGGCAGCAGTGGGTCGTGGGTTCTGTGTCTGTGTGTGAAAGAGCTCTGAAAATTTAATGAGGAGCATCAATTAATGACCTGCTATCTGTGACCCCATTTCCTTTCCATTGCATTTTTGGGATTTTCCCTTTTCACTGGATTCCCAGGAGTCCGTCACTCTGACTGTGTGTTTTGTACCTAGATTTGTTGAGTTCTTTAAACATGTGACTACATCCAGTGGCGTCGCTAGGTTTGCTGGGCCACCTGTACTCAGTCCTACTTTTTCCCCCCTTACTACGACATCAAATACACGTTCAACTGACAATTTTACCTGATGTGTAAGAATTCATCTGATAAATCTTAGTTAAAAAAGCTCTACTTCACAAAACTTAATCAAAACCTGTGCAAAGCAGGAAGCTGCTCATTTTGAACGAGTTCTATGTGGTTCTACAGAGGAACAGGTCAGTGTCCGGCTGATTGTCAGAGCTTGAAGGTCTTCACAGCGAATCAAGAGACTTCTTGCCTCTGGATGCACCAATGAGCTGTCAGATTGGGCGGGACCACTGTGACCTCAAAGAAAAGGCACTCTGGGAGTCTGTGTACAACTGGCACACAAATAAACATTTGTTACTGTGAGCCTTTTGCCGCTTTGAAAAATCTTTTGCTTCTTTTATCTCATGACAAAAACGGGCGTGTTTTCTCAGGTGTGTGTATGCAGCTGAGCCGGACAACCTGGGAAGGGGAAGGTGGGACGTCCTGTCTGTGGGGTCCTTTGGAATCCTGGGATTCGTAGTCCAATCGAATTGACGGGGCTCTTACTTTCATTTCCTGTTCCCTGCGTCTCTGTTCCTGTCGCAGGAGCTCCTGGGCCTCCAGGAGGACACGTGCATTGTAGCCGCCACCCACTGAGGAAGCGCTGGATCCTGGGGGAGCGGAGAGGCCATTCCTGCAGCCAGGACGAGGAACGGTGCGCGGGACAGCACGAGGTCCCTGGTAGCTGGAGTAACGGCCGCTGTCTTTAGCTGCCTGGAAACTGTCTCCGGCCGGACATTTCCTCTCCCACTCGCTTTCTGAGGCCGGGGTGGGCATCTTACGAGGGTGGCTACACACACGGAGAAATGGGCAAGGTGAGAAGCTGTGTGTGCAAATGTTCTTAAAGACATTAATAGTTTATTCCTACTGAAACAGGAAGTAGGGCCGGGACATATCATAATTTTTTATTTTTTTGCCAGTATCTTCTAGTTTACATCACAGTCCATCAAAACCACACTTGTCAGCTTTCAAAATGGATCAAATCCAGCCAATTTCTTTATTTATTAAGCATTAGGAAGATGAATTTTATTGGATGAAATTTTATTTACTCATTTATTTTTTTCCCGATTTTGCTTAAAGAGAAAAGTTGTTCAAACTGAATTATTTTATCCTAATATTAAAATATACACTACTATTCAAAAGTGTTTTTTCTCCATTATTTTCGAAAGAAGTCTCTTATGCTCACTATGACTGCATTCATTTAATCAAAATACAGTAAAAATTATCTTTTTATTTATGCAAATATTGTGAAACATCTATTTTAATATATTTTAAAATACAAGTTATTCCTGTAAATGCATTTAATTGTTTCTTTTTTTATTTGCATTTAATTGTTCAATTTAATTTTAGTTAGTTTTAGAAATGTTTTTGTCATTTTTATTAGCTTTCGGTTCTTTTATAATAAATCTATGTAGTTCAATTAATTTTGATTTCAGTTTTAGCTATTTTAGTACTTTTTTTCATATTTTCTTTTATTTTAGTTAATGTTTTATTTCAAGTAACAATTTTTTTAAAGGTTTTAGTTTTAAAACTAAGCGCTTCATTGAGTCACATGATCCCTCAGAAATAATTCTAATATGCTGATTTGGTTCTCAAGAAACATTTCTTATTATTGGTGTTAAAAACAGTTATGCTGCTTGATATTTTTATTGAAACAGTGATACAAATTTTTTTTTTGTATTCTTTCATGAAAACAACAGAATCTATTTGAAATAGGAATTTTTGTAGCGAATGTCTTTAATGCCACTTTTAATAAATTTAATGCATTTCCTAAAATAAAATCTTACTGACCTCAAAACTTTTGAAAATCATAGTAAATAGACAAACTACAAGCCAAAAAACGTTTTATTTTAATTTTAATTTGATGAGATAGTTTAAGTGTTTTACTCAATAAATAACAGCACCACTGCATTACGGTATATTTCACAAACACACGTACCGTGGCAGAGAGCTGTACTGTCTCTGAGCATGTGTGAAAGCATCTCTGGCTTCCTGCCTCTGTAACTGCACCTCCACAGACACTGAATGACGGCCAGATGATGTCTGAGAGCTGCAGTTGGACTGGAACACAAACAGGAGTTATTAACATGTCAAACTAAAGCAATCAGGTAAAAGTTGTGTAGAGAGACAAATTTGGAAGAGAGAGAATTTGAGTTCTGGAAAGATCATTATGAACATACAGACACACAAACACTCAAGCTAAGCACTTACCAGGATTCAGAGGTGTTTTTGTGTAGAGGTCTGTGACATTTGTGCAGAAATGTGTGTTTGAATGTTAAGGAAAATACACAACACCGTGTGTAACAGTTCATTGAAACTCTCTCCCTGAAAAGATGAATACAAATGAATATGTTAAAAGCAATCCACACAGAAGAGCTTCTGAAACGATCTTTAAGTGCAACTCATTCCTGAGGGATAGTTTACCAAAAAATGTATACTCCGTCATTGTTTACTTTCTTCTGAGGAACAAAAAAGAAGGTATTTTAGGAATGTTTGTACTAGGATAGGGAAGCTTAAATAGGGTCCAAAACAAATTATTTTTATTGTGTAGAGAAAAAAAAATCACAGTCATGCATGTTTGGAACAACACGAGTAAATCATGACCGAATTGTAATTTTTGGGTGAACTATCCCTTTATTAGGACTTTCTGCTTCATTTTATAGGCAAAAGAGGTTTAAATTGACCTAAATCCAGATCAACATATTGAGTTCACACTCAATCCAGATTCGAATGATCTGGATTTGAATTCGATATCTTAAATACTAAACAATTTCAGTCTTAAAACATTGATTTTTAAACTCAGACACACACTTTCATCTTGCAAACATACAATCAGTCAATCGCAGTTCTTGCCTTAATTCGTGATCTGCTGAGGTCATGGCAGCGGTGATATGTCTGAACAGATGAATGGTTGGGTGAACAGTCCAGATGGATGAACACATGGTGATGTTAGCATTGTTAGCGGATAATGTCAGTGTCAGAGGTGACATGCTCCTGCATGCAGTGGTCTCAGGTTAGCGGTTAGCATTAGCCCAGGTCTGGAGATCGTATACATAACCTCCCCAGTCCTTGGACTTAGTCTTGTCCTTCCTGGGAGCTCCCAGAGACCATGGGGCGTACGTCCAGTGATCATGGGTGCACATACACAGCTCACACACTCACCCAGGGCTGCTCCAAGCTATAGGAGCGGTGGCGATCATCTGGCTCCGCCTCTTCCTGCTGGACCTGCTGGAACTCCTGGCGTAAGCGCTGGATTCGGTCGTGGTTGCTGGGCGTCAGCCTGTTAGGAGCAGGAGGAAGAGGGCACATGATGACACATTAGAACATTACATCCTAATCCCTTTGATCTTATACGCTCCGGAATGACAGGTGCTGGAAGTGCGACCCTGTGTAAAAGGTCACCTAGTTACGCTCCGCTACCTTTATGAGAACAAAGGTCAAGATGTCACACACGGTGCACAGATGGTCCAGATACCTAAATGGGCAACAAACACGGCCTCTCCTATGCTCCACAAGATCAGATGAGGAAAGCCCACAGCAGAATTCACCAGACACAGACAAGCGGCAGTTTATGTAAGGAAGAACTGACGACAGGCCATTAAATTATTAGAAAAATAATGCACACCCGAGGTGGTGATGCGGCCACGACACGAAGCGGGTCACCTCGGGTGTGCATTATTTTTCTAATAATTCAACGGCCCGGAGTCAATTATTCCGCTTATACTACGGTTACCACACCTCAAGACATCGATCAGATGATATACACTCTTAAAAATAAAGGTGCTTCACGATGCCATAGAAGAACCTTTTTGTCTAAATGGTTCCATAAAGAACCTTCAACATCTAAAGAACCTTTCTGTTTCACAAAAGGTTCTTTGTGGCGAAAGAAGGTTCTTCAGATTATAAAAAGGTAAGAAAGAGATGGTTCTTTAAAGAACCTTTGACTGAATGGTTCTTTGTGGAACCAAAACTGGTTCTTCTATGGCATCATATTGTGAGTAGGATTATTTCTTCCGCATCTCATCCAACAACGCCTCTTTTGCTAGTTCCAAAATGTAATTTTAAGCCGTTAATAGCATTCTAATGCAGTTATTAATGAAGTTATTAGAAAGAGAGCGAGAGAGACAGACACACAGAGAGAAAGAGAAAGAGAGAGAGAGAGAGCTTGTGTGAATTAGGCTACCTCTGTGCATCCCTCAACAGTGTTCGGCAGCAGCATCTCTAAACAGCGCTGTTATTACCTCGCTAGTGAGAAATGTCATGTGTAGCCTTTAAGTTGCTACACTATATAGGCTAACTGATCAAATCATCAGGGCAGCGCTGACAACACCTTTTTGTGCAAACTGCGTGACCGTAGTGTGCGTGTGCGAGCACGTGAGATTGCAGTAATTCCTGTGTGCTGTATAGGTACTGTATGCTAATTTCCGTTATTACAGTTAACTATGCGAAGTGATATGGAACTGTAATGCGGTCAAGAGATCTGTCTGGAACGCCGTGCGTTTTCCTGAAAATAATTGCACACCTCAGAACGTTCGTCAGCCAATCAGATTCAAGCATTCAACGGCCCCGTAGTATAAATTACAGTATAGACGTGCATGTGTGTGTGTGTGAGAAAAAACCAGACAGATTTCCTCTTATTAAAATTCCATAATCACATGTTGAGTGTTTACGATATAGAAGACAGCAACTGGGGCTTTTTACACATGAGCAGATGTCCAGTTTAAAACACACAGATGCAGTATAAACTTTGTCACAGGAGATGACTGGAGATAATTTAAGAACGCAGACTAATCATAAAACATGCATGTGTTTCTAATATATATATATATATATAGAGAGAGAGAGAGAGAGAGAGAGAGAGAGAGAGAGAGAAATTGTATTTATAATTTCATTAATAATTAAAAAGAAACCGTACATAATCATGAAATTTTGAAGTAGAAAGAATAAGACTGAAATAGCATTTTCTTGTTAAATGTGCACCAATAATCATTGTTTATTTACAACTCCTTGTTTTATCTTCCATAATTGTATATTTATTATTTGTATATTATATTATTGTATATACACATATATATTTATGCATATATATATATGTATTTACAGAATATATCTAATTAAAAAATAACTATAATGGCAGATAGATTGATAGATCTTTAATCTCACACACACACACATACAGATATAGATATATATACATCTATCTATCTATCTATCTATCTATCGCTTTGTCATATTTGGGATAAGTGAATTTTAGTGAATTCAAATCAGCTGTAACTTGAGATTCTTTCTGTGCAATTTCTTAAAGGAATTGGCTTGTAAGATACATTTGTTTGTGAGTCAGAATATACTAGTCACAATATACGGTTGTTTTTGAGTCCAGCAATGCTTAAAGTTATTTCGCAGCACCCAGGTCTTTGTATCTCATCACATTTCAGACTGCAAACTCTCAACAGAAATATAATTTTTCACATTTGCCATGGCGGTGCAGATTCAGCAGCGCCGCCACTGACACATAAAAATACATAGGTCAAACATTCGCTCTAAAACCCCAACTGAACTCTTTCTCTTGGCATTGAAATGTATATTTATTATTTGTATATTATATTATTGTATATACACATATATATTTATGCTTATGTATTTACAGAATATATCTAATTAAAAAATAACTATAACGGCAGATAGATTGATAGATCTTTAATCTCACACACACACACATACAGATATAGATATATATACATCTATCTATCTATCTATCTATCTATCTATCTATCATATTTGGGATAAGTGAATTTTAGTGAATTCAAATCAGCTGTAACATGAGATTCTTTCTGTGCAATTTCTTAAAGGAATTGGCTTGTAAGATACATTTGTTTGTGAGTCAGAATATACTAGTCACAATATACGGTTGTTTTTGAGTCCAGCAATGCTTAACGTTATTTCACAGCACCCAGGTCTTTGTATCCCATCACATTTCAGATTGCAAACTCACAACAGAAATATAATTTCTCACATTTGCCGTGGCGGTGCAGATTCAGCATCGGCTCAGCGGCGCCACTGACACACACAGAAAAATACATATAGGTCAAACATTCGTTCCAAAACCACAACTGAACTCTTTCTCTTACACTTAGGCCTGATCTAAAACACACCAATCAATACAAACTCATCAAAAACACAAATACATCAACACCATGGAGCCATTTAATCCAATAAGAGAATCAATGAAGAACTGCTGTAATGTTTCCGGAAAGGCTAAAATAATAACCTTGCAACATCTAAATGCATTACAATGCCCAGATGAACAAAGAAAGCCATCGTGAGTGTGTGTACACATGCTGACACGGCAGTAACAGTACCTGTGCAAAATTACATTTCCATTGTCAGCTGCATTGACTTAAACACATTTGTTCTGTTCTGACATATTTCTTTTTTACCAGCGTGCACATACATACAGCATAAGCCGGACAGGATGTCCCTCTGACCCCATCATGAGATTACTTATTTCACTGCCAACAGCTGGAGCCATTTAAAACAGTGGCATAACTCTCAGATCAGACCGAGAGACTCACCGGAATTACACACAAATTCACTCGTGGCACATAGAGGAGCTTATTTAGCAGTCATGTTTGTGTGTGACCTGTTGAGGAAGTTACTCTACAAACACTCATTTTAAATCTGACTGACAACCATAAAATAATTATGAAAGCATGGCACAAAGCCAGAAAAACCGATATAGTTATGAAAATGTAACATTCCTCAAGTGTGTCTGCCCATATAACTAGTTTCTCTTTACCATAATAAATGAGATCTATTTCTGAACTCGAGGGCAAATGGCTTTCAAAGTAGACCTATTGTGTGTTAGGAATGACTGCAGTGTGTATTTGTGTGTACGTATGATGAAATGCTTAAAACTAATTCAAAATGTATATAACTTGACAAAATTACAGCCAGAAGTAAGGTAAATCTAAAAAAAAAAAAACATATATATATTTTTTTAAATCTAACTTTGGCAACATCTTCAAAGGTAAAAATTTTTCATACATTATTATAAAAATGCATGCAGTTCTCTTTTAAGAGCTTTAATGATTTGAGTTAGAGTTAGTCTGCATTTATCATGACTAGCTTATATTAAAGGCATTTTAGACATTGAGGTAAAGGTGTATGAGATTCTAAAGTAGAACTAACAAAACGGACCCTCTTAAAGGGATATTCCACCCAAAACTTGTGTTGTTCCAAACCTTTGTCTTCTGCGGAACACAAAAGAAGATATTTTGAAGAACGCTGGGAACCAAACGACACTGGATCGAATGTTTAGACAAAAACACTGAGACATTTCTCAAAATCTCTTCTTTTTTATAAGTTATAGAGGTTTGGAAGGACATGAGGGTGAGCGAATGATAGAATTTTCATTTTGGATGGAGTATCCCTTTAAAGAGCATCACTTTCAACAGTGTTCCACATTCTCCTGGCATTTTTATCTAACAGCTGTGAGCTCAAAGCACCAGAATCAGGTCAAAATAATCAATACACACCAAGCATGGATGAAAATGACAACGTAGTAATAACTTGTCTCTTTTATTACTTCAAATGAACAGAAAAGGGAGTTGGGAGTGAGAAGGGATGAAACCAGATCTGTTTAAAAGGACTTTTCACAGGTAAACACACATGCTTATGAAAAACACACACAGTTTAAGTGGGCACTTATTGTTAATTTAGCCCATTATTTTTCTCCAGCTCTCTATAAGGGCTGCCATTTTGTGGTCAAGAAAGTGCGGCACAATCAAAAGTGCACTTCACTGTAAATTCATCACTGATATGACTAAGGGGCCAACCCAGTGTAACACACCATCTGACATTCATCCTCTCACAGCTTCATCTAGAATTCATCCTCTCACAGCCTCATCTGACATTTGTCCTCTCACAGCTTCATCTAGAATTCATCCTCTCACAGCCTCATCAGACATTCTTCCTCTCACAGGCTTATCTAGAATTCATCCTTTCACAGCCTAATCTGATATTCATCCCTTCAAGGTCTCATCTAGAATTTTTCCTCTCACAGCCTCATCTGACATTCGTCCTCTCAGCCTCATCTGACATTCATCCTCTCAAAGTCTCATCTCGAATTCATCCTCTCACAGCCTCATCTAGAAGTATTCATCTAACAGCCTCATCAGACATTCATCCTCTTAATAGCCTCATCTGACATTAATCCTCTCACAGCCTCATCTGACATTCATCCCTTCACGGTCTCATCTAGAGTTTTTCCTCTCACAGTAT